AAGAGGGAGGAGAGAGAGAGTGGGGAAGAGGGAGGAGAGAGAGAGAGGGAAGAGGGAGGAGAGAGAGGGAAGAGGGAGGAGAGAGAGAGAGAAGAGGGAGAAGAGAGAGAGGGAAGAGAGAGGATAGAGAGAGGGAGGGAGGAGAGAGAGAAGAGAGGATAGAGAGAGAGGGAGGGAGGAGAGAGGGAGGAGAGAGAGGGAGGAGAGAGAGGGAGGAGAGAGAGGGAGGAGAGGGAAGAGGAGGAGAGAGAAGAGGGGGGAGAGAGAGAAGAGGGGGAGAGAGAGAGAGAAGAAGGGAGAGAGAGAGAGAAGAAGGGAGAGAGAGAGAGCAAGAGAGAGAGAGAGAGAGAAGAGGGGGGAGAGAGAGAGAGCATGAGAGAGAGAGAGAGAGAGAGAAGATAGGGAAGTGTGAGAATGACAGGAGGACAGAGGGCGGAGAGAGAAGAGGAAGAGAAAGCTTGGTTAAAAGACTCACCAAATGCAAGACATGAACCAAGAGCAAGATTCATAGCTACTCATTTTTTCACTCAACTATTACATACAGTGTCAGAAATGTCATTCAATTTAATGTAGATTAAAATTATCATACATGAAACTTAATGTAACTTTGCACAGAGTCTTAAAAAGAGCTTAATATATTGGTGCATTAAATTCTATTCACAAGTTTAAATTAGTATAGATTTAATGTAGAGGTTCTCCTGTTTTACCCGCCTCTCATCATTCGTACCGTATATTCATAATCACTAGCACATCAAGATCATTCATTCATTTATTCATTCCAGGTACAACCATACAGCTTTGACTCTCTCATCCTAATGTACTAGTGTTCATTAATTTTAATGTGTGTCCATGATAATTACTTTAATGTAATTTACATTAAAGTAATGTGGAAATTTCTGACAGTGTAGTGGTCTGAGAACAGACAAAACAGTCCACACACCTCATTAAACAGCAGCTCCCTCCTCTGCTGCTTGCGCAGGTCCATTTTCTTCACAGCCACTTGCCGGCCAGAGGATCGATCCACCGCAATGCATACGGTCCCCGTGGAGCCCTCACCAATCTTCATGAACTGTTCCAAGTTCTCACGAGGATCACCAGGGCTTACAACCATCTGGAGGGCAGCTCGGAACTGGAAAATTCCAAAATGTCTTCAATCAGTACACACACTAGAATTGCAACTCTCTGACAAGATTTCAACATGCCTAGTCAAAATAAGAGACCCATAACGTGTCAAAACTATGATAAAGACTAGAATATTTACTTAAAAGTCCTGCAGGTATATACAACCTGAAAATACAAGTAACAAACTTACAACCAACATAGCCAATGTTTATGCATAAGAATACGCAGATAGAATATACAGATACAGGTCATAAAATGATATTTTTGAAAGCAGAAAATTAGAAATTCTAGCAATTTCTATCACAATTCGTAAGAATATATTTATTAATAAAAATTAAAATACAAAATACACAAAAATGGATATCATAAAGCCCTTATAAAGAACAATAAACTGTGCATTATTTGAAAAGGAAATGTGTAATTCAACAATTTGCAATCTACGAAAGTGGAGGTGATAATGACAAACTCATCTGGTGTAACACTTTCAAATTGGTATTCGGAACCATTCTCTCACACACAATTACATCAACAAAGACAGCAAAAACATCAATTTTCTTATTTACATTTATGTATTCAACAACATATTTCAAGACAACACAGCTTATTTAAAGCATTATCAGCACATTCTAATAGTTCAACATGGTGCAAAAGAAGTGTGAACTACAAGTTCTAGAAACCACTGGTTCGAAATTGACTAATCTTTTCAATTTTTAGGAGTCTGCCACATTCTCTTAACAGTATACTTTCAACCAACACTTCTTGAAGGAATCCTTTAGAAAGTGAATTTACAAAATTATTGTTATTTTTTATATTTCTTAAACGGAACATTGTATCGTATCAATGGACCACTGAGATGTCATTCATCAGTTTGTAATATAAAAAAAAAAAAATTAATTCAAATAATTTTTTAAAATGCAATTATAAATGAAAACATTACTTAATTGTCTAGCTGCATTGCATTCCTGCAAATAATTTTGGTAACTTCCAAAAAGCATATCTTTCGTTGTGTAAATTTAAGAGAACTTGAGTTACCAAAAAATAAAAGTAAAATTAATTCTTCTCCTGCAAATTCTCAATTTCCACAAGATGATTGATTTTCATTTACAGTATGGGGATAGGTACTACATTGCAGATGAAAATTGTAATTCACACAAGAAGGTCACACAAGTATTGGTGCATAAAGAACAAATCAGATACCTGCAAATCACGAACTATAAGGGCATTAATCCTATTCCATTGCTGCATGAAAAATGCATTATAGAACAATTATCAAACAATAAACATATGGAATGGCAATTATTTCATTTACACCCAAGACACTATTTACAATATAGCATGAACTATATTTGAGGTAATTACCGTTTCATTTTTCAAGGGACCAAGATGAAATGGTATATATAGGGGAAAGTAAATTTTAAATAGACTCACATAAATTAAAACATTTATAACTCACTTTTAATAATAACTAACCTTTATTTTATATCCACTGCAGCTCCGACATGGCATAAACATTTGGGCAGGGAAAAGGGAAATATAGTAAGACTCCATTTTTTTCATTACCAGAATTTATGCTTTCCCTCTACTTACTGATTTTACGTGTCCCTTGAACTTCCTATGAACGCAATAAAACTCCCATTTGTAACATTTTACACTTTTCATAATAATTTGATATAATAATAATAATAAATAATAATAATATAATAATCATAATAATAATATAAATAATAATAAATAGACATGATTAAGCAATGCAGGTACAAAAATCAATTATCTAATGAAATGGAAACACGAAGGATGAAATGGTTTTGTCATGTGAAGTAGTTTTAGAGTACTTAAAAATGTATTTACTCAAATACAGTGCTACTATTTTATTAGCGTGCCGCAATTGTGGAAAATTCTGCTCGGTCATTAGGCCCTCACTTGCTGGGAAACCAAGTGCTGAGCTCCCCTGAGAACGCAGTGTTTCAAGAGTTCCATTTTCGTTTCTGGTGGCTCACTCGAAGATCACTCTCAAACAGCAATTGTGTGTGTATAAATATATCATCATCATCAACAGCAGGATAGTAGGTCTGGTGCCTGTTCCTGTTAAAAGACAGTAGGGGCCGAATTCATAGTCGTCACTTACACTGAGTGTTCCCTTAAGTACACGAATCGTATTTCATAAACAGTCCTTAAGTGAAATCTTAAGTGAGCACTCATCTATAAGGGGCAGCCTGCCTCCTCTTAAGTGTCCCTTATGGCTCCCTCGTATCGTAAGTTCGTAACCAGTTTAGGTTATACTTTTACGCGGCGATCACCGACTATTTGAATTCGTTTTGCTGGTGTTTGTATAGTGTATCATTTGTGAAACTTGTTATCGAAAACGACTTCAAAAGATTATTTTGAATTTTATACTCAACATATCCTGCGAATTCAAAGAGATATATTAGAGAACCTATTGGAAATGTAGAATGATGAACAATTCCGAAAGCAGTTTCGTTTCAATAAAACTACTATAGTGGATACGCTTGTACGATGATCGAACAAGTCCCAATGCTAAAAGAGGATTGCCAATTTCCTCTTGTTACAAGTTGTCGTTGCATTACGATGTTATGCAACTTTATCCTTTCAGGAATGTTTCCAAAATTTTTAACTTTTATTCATTTCCGATTTATAAGACCTATTATAAGTAATTATGAATTTGCAATGTGATAACAAGTGAAGTAATTAAAATTATTGTAAATGGAATTTTTTAATTTACTTATATGGGGTTGACATTTTCAATTACATTGAAATGTTAATAATCCATTACCAATATTGGCAGACTTATTTCATTACCATATTACCATAACCACCACTTTATGTTCATTATTTATACTAGAGCATAACTAATTAGCATAGAGAATCAATTGAAATGATGTTAAGTATTATATTACAATTCCAATAATGCACATAAATAATGTGTAGAAAATGCACAAGACATTGCAGAGATACATTAAAATTTTGATACGGAGGCTTCATGATTATTTTTTACCAAACATTCTTATATATTAGGGATTGTAATAAATACATTTTTAAAAATATATAACATGATACCGTGTCAACATAGTCATTGAAATGTAATATGAGAATTAGTAGATTATATTGTGTAGAAATACTACTTGTTATTAGTGATGGCAGTTATCGTATGTCTTTCCTTTTTAACTGACATACTTGTTTGCACTAAATCAGAAGGAAATTTCCCATTCGCCTTTTCTTAGATTTGTCAAAAGTCTTTGACATCATTGACCATCACATACTTGTAAGAAAACTAGAACTGCTAGGATTCGAGGCATTGCAGGCCCAATGGATCAAATCATATTTATCAAACCGTTAGCCAAATTAGTTTGCCCTCCCAGCACCCTAAAAGAAAACAAAAATCTCCTCAACTACTCCTGCCCTCAAATAATCAATTGTGGAGTCCTGCAAGGATCCATCTTTTGGGTCAAATTATTCCTTATATACATAAATGACATGCCATTGGCTTTACCGGAACAACAAATATAATTTGTTGCAGATGATACAAACATAATCATTTAAAGCAAAAACACAACAATCATTGGAAAAAGGGAACTCACAAAACTTTGCAAGCACTAGTAAAATGCGTTTCAACACAACCAAATTGAACATAAACACCAGCAAGACAGTCTTCTAAATTTCATGAAGTCCCCATCTAAAGAGAAAAACTCTCACAGCATGTTTGCTCATAAACAATAAGCCTGAACAATATCTCATGAAACTACCTCTCGGACTAGAATTTCAAGAAAACCTAAAATGGAATGCCCACATCTCAAAGTCTAACAAGAAGCTTCAGCAAATTCTTGCTGTTGTCCTATTACACTCTCAGGTCAAGCGTCCAAAATTGAGACACATCAAAAACAATGTATTTTGCCAAATGTGCACTCCACCCTAAAAATATGGAATAATATTCTGGAGAACATGCCCATGAAAGCACTCGCACATTTATTTCAAAAAAGAGAATATTGCGAAACATGACCAGCACTCATTAAAAAGCTGTGAGTCTTGCGAACCCTTGTTCAATAAACTAGGATTCTTTCATCTACCGTGATGCTATATATATTGAAATAGTGGTCTTCACAAAGAAAAATTCTAATGCGAAAACCAAAAGACAACTTTTACTTTAAGTTCTGATGTACACAACTACCAACCCCCGTCAAAAAGGATAAACCTACATGTTCCCCACTCCTGAACTACACTTTAGTCAAAAAATACCCTAATAGAGAGCATTACCACTTTACAACAAAACTAGCAATGATATTAAAGACAATGAAACACAAAATTCATACATTTTAAAAAGTAAATTGAAAGCTCCTGCCTTAACAAACATGTTCTACAATGTAAGGAATATTCAAATTACATTTCTCTTAAAAAAAATATAAATAAATAAATGAATTTCTTATCCCATTAGGACCTTTCCGCGTCATTGATAAACTGTTTCGAGCTGAAGCAAAGAAAAAAGAACTGGCACTATTGATCCTGCTGAAAGTAGAAGGAGAAAAAGAAAAAAAAAAATGTTTCTTTCTGGATTTGCTAGATGCATTAGGTGCTTGCAGTATGACTACGTGTACAAATTGAAAGAAAAAAAAATCTGGTTTAAACTTGCCTCCTCACTATTTCGAATTTTAAATATAGAATGTACTAATACTGTTAAATTTTATGTAGTTCCGAACAGAATTGATATGTATTGTTCTAATATTATTATTAATGTAATAATTATTATTATTGTTATTATTGTCATTATTACTATTATCATTGTTGTTATTATTATTATTATTATTATTATTATTATTATTATAACAAAAATCACATTAGTAAAATATACCAACATCAAAACATCTCGTTTTGTCTGTATGATGACATATTAGAGGTAGTAGAAGTATTTCGTCGTGCGCGCGACATCAACTCTACGTTGGAGTGTCCGCCCCCTGTTAAAGTGGACGCTCTTTGTACAAGATGGAGTGTGTGTGCAAACTAGGTTACCAAGAACTTTGAAACAGCTGCCGCCAATGCTATGTTGCCACATTTCCCTTCCGCTTAAGGGAACACTCATTCCGCGATCATAAGGAACGTCTATGAAATACGAGCGCCTATAAGGGAACACTTATTTTGAGAAAGCACTTATCACTTAAGGGTTTGCTTATCATATAAGTGACGACTATGAATTCAGCCCTAGATCTGGTGATTATTCCTCCAGTTGTTCCTGTGTAGAAGTAAAATGCGTCAAACTGTTATGTGCAATGTATCCTGGAGCCTTTTTTCTAAATGTTGACAAATGAATTGTGTAATTATGGCCATTTTCAATAGGACTGCGCAACTACACACGCTGATTCAGTTTCCTTCCCGTTCACGTGCCGTTTATGGAGACAGAATTATCACACTTGGCAAGCCCGCTCTCCTGATCTGACTCTTTGCGATTTCTTTCTTTGGGGATTCCTGAAAGGTCACATGCATGCTACAAATTCTCACATGGGAAAAGAATTATGGCACAATAGACAGGAACAAATCTCAGCAACACCACAGGACGTCCTTTACTGAGTGAACCAGAACTTACTTAGATGTCATGAATGTATCAGTTCACGTGTATATTTATTTCTATCTTTCTGGACCTACCTCCATCCTAAGTCTTCTTTGAATCTATCGTTTTATGACTCTTCAATGATGTCCACATTGAATTTACATTTATATTTCTTTCCAAACTACTTTAAAACCTTCAAATATTGCTTCCTTTCATGATCTTGTTTATAAACTATTTCATTAACAGCTGTTATTTTGAAATTCACATTGTTGCGTTTATGAGTTGTTGAGTAGTGAACTGTGAACATGCCGATCCCTATCGTGATTTTCAGACATTTCCATGCCACATATCACAAGTGATCTCATGCAAGAGTTTTGCTGGGAGATGTTTGACTATCTTATTCTCTGGACAGAGAGGAATCATGTGTGGGCAGATTCTTGGTGGAGAATTCTAGAGGACCATCTGATTCCAGAGTCTCATGGCAACACAGCGCTAGCTTCAAGATGTAGGCTGTGGGTAGGCAATGTGAAGCTCAGGCAATGTTGTCTGGTCACACCCGGTTTAGTCCCTGGCACATCGATCTTTGGGCAGGACTGAGCGAAGGACGCTCTGAGAGTTGTTCTGGATCCCACTTATAGAAGCCCGACAGGGCCCAGATAGCCCCTTGTCAGGTTGCCTAGATGTGGTAGTAACATCAATAGCCTAAAGGTGTTGACAGTGAGGAGATGGAAATCCACCAAGCCACACGAACATTAGTTCGGATGGCCCACTGTTGGACTCCTGACTTCATCGTGACAGTGGCCCAATACTCTGAGCAAAGAGAAGGGACTTGTTCCCGGCAGATGAGAGTTTGAATTCTGGTACTAGCATGGATAGCTAGTAGTTCTGAGCTGGAAAGGTGGCCCCATCTAGGCAATGAATAGAGAGGTTGCTGTGAGGGCAAAGTGCATTCTGAGGGGATCTGGATACCAGCCTGTCATCGTATTTTGCAGAAGCGTGTGTGTGCGTGTGTGTGTGTGGATAGAGGCGAAAAGCTATAGGTGCCCACCCAGGGGTTTGTGCCTCCTGCTAGAACATGAGGTAAGCATAGAGTGGTAGCCAACGCAGGGAGAACGATATCCTAGATTCCTGATCTCCCCTCAGCAATTTCCATCATTTCTTGTTCCCTCTCAAAACAACCGTACCCGGCCAGCATTATGCAAATCACAGTGACGCAAACTTTGACGTAGCTGTCAAAACACTGGTAACTATTCCAGAAAGCAAATTTCTGTGATACAGGGATTCAAAAACTTATTTCATGGCATGACAAATGGCTCAATTCTGATGGAGATTATATGGAAAAAAAACTTGACGTTTCTGTACAGAAACTGTTCGAGAATCTGCACAAAAACTGCACTGTGTATACCACGCTTTAGAGAAGAAATTAGTGAACTGTTTTGGCTGCAGGAGAGTACCTGCTCATGGGTGAGTCGCTGCTGCTCATGGTGCTGCTTACTGGAAACCACAGCGTTACTAGAGGCTGGCGACGGCTGCCCAGGTGGCATGGGTGTGGATTTCACGTTCTGGTTCTGGTCTGGGGAAGGATGAGCTGCTGGAGGGCGTTGACTGGGTCCATGGTCTCCCGGACCTGGAGGTGGCTGCTAGAACGAAAATTGTGCACAATTTTACCTTGGGTTAAACCACTAAATACTAAGGTTTTAATGCAAACACATGTGATGTAACATGAACAAAATAAGTAATATTGTTTTTCATTGTAATAAGAAATAAATATATAAATTTACATAAACATTTTTAACATCTATAGTGAATTAAAATTAATAGAAATAATCATCCTAAGGAAAACATGTAATACATAATTATTGCCAATGCTGATAATCAACCACTACTTCCATATTCATCAAAACTAAAAAAACATTTCTCTGAGTTAATAGTTAATATCTTCGTTCAGTTAGTACCTACAACAGGCAAATATGCCCAAACACAAGAATTCAACAATAATTATGAAAAAATAGAGAAAAGACCATAAGGAACTCAATAACATAAGATAGTAATAACGTTAACAAAAATAACAATAATTCATGACATTAAAAGTGACATCAACCTGAGGAAACAAAGCATTATGCATTCAACGGCGCACTGTCGCTAACAGGTACTACCTTGTTCATGTGTACTGGGTGTGGCCCCATTTGCGAGAGTGGTCGCTGAGGTTGTGCTGTTTGAGGACTCACACCAGCAGGGCTGCCAACAGAACCAACAGGCGAATGCTGCATGCGTGTTGGTCCCACAGAAGGGTAGCCTGACGTGTACGGACCAGGGCCTTCAGATGCCGGAGGACTGGACACATGGGGAGGCTGCAAACATACATCGCATACATTATTCTGTTTGTAAAGATCCCTTTTTTGTCTTGCATCCAATCGTTTTTTTTAGGATAAGATGTCATTAGAAAGGTGTCTTGAGAAGTAGCAGCTGCTCATTCAGGACTCTACAGGAGTGCCCTTCTCAAAATTTAAATCACACAAAGGTTGCAGAACACATAACTAGTACATTAAATTGACTTGTTTAATATAAGTTTTAACATTCTCATCAGCACAACCATTTCCTAACCAATTTGCAATTTTGTTTTGATTGAGCAGTAAGAATTCGTTTAAATTTAAAAAAATTATGGAGCCTCTTCAAAATTAGGAGGTTGTCTTATATTAAAATAAACATGATAATAATGATAAAAATAATAATACATTTTGTGCTGAGAGTAAATTGTTGCTACATTCCTGAAATGCATTCAACATACAAGGTCAGAGCACGGGGATCATGTACAAATCGACTACATCCAAGGAGAATGAAACCAGACCAATGCCAAAGACAGATATTTATGATAAAAATAAACAAGGAACAGGAGAGATGGTTGATGAAAGAATAAGAAACCCATGTAAGTCCCTGCCAATAAGCAAATCCTCCAAGTGCAAAAGCGAAACCGAAGGGGTCCCAGGGATGAGCTACCTGAGTAGGGGGATTCCCGTTGACAACATGGTGCTGAGCGAAAGGAGGAGGTCCCCTGTACTCTGAGACCTCGGGTCCTGGCTGGTTGACAGGAGAGCGCAAGGGCTCATGGCCTGGTCCCCATTCGTTCGTGGGGCCATGTACAGCTTTCATCTGGAACACACAAAAACGCATTTAAACACAAAAATAGAAATGGACAAAGTATTCTCAACAAATAATATGTGTGTAATCATTATTATTGGTCTACTTTTGGACAGTCTTTGTAATTAATTTAAAACTATATTTTTTGAAATCTCTATTCATATACACTTTTACCAGCTTTCACAAACATTTGAAGGGCTTGACTATGGATAATTCTACGACACATCAAGTTCATGTTGAGAAATAAAAAGATAATTTTTTTCATTCAACATCCCTCGCCACAGAGTAAATAAGAAATGTTTGGTAGTATAGCATTTGTTTCTTCAGCACACGCACTTGCTCAGAATGTAATAACTGATATGGGATGTAGGTTGTTAACATCTTCATTTTCACAAAAGTGTAATTAAGAACCACTTAGCGACAAGTCTTTCACATCACAAATGGGTGATAAAATTGGAACACACGCTTGAATGTGAAGAGTCAAGACCAATTACAGTCACAAAACAATCCATTAATCATCAAATATATTTCAACAGGAGCAGACATTGTTGGCAGTCGTTACAGAAAGAATTTTAAGAGTTTCTGAATGAATTATAATCGTCAGATCAAAAAACATGCAGATAATGATACAGCAACAATTCTAACTATATTTCATGCAGACAATATGATATAGCTTCAAATTAAACTTTTTCCAACACATAACAAATGTTCTCATTATATAGTAACATATCTACTGGGCGATTATAAAATATCCTCACAAAATTTTGCTTCTACTAATTCCCTGAAACCTTTGCAACAATTTGTAGTTTTACGTACACCCCCCTTGCCATGAGAAAATTTTTTTCATCCCCTCACTACACTATCTAAACAAAATAAAACTTCAATAAAAATTGGGAAAAACTTTAATTGAATTTTTCAAAACAGAAAACATAATTTTGATTAATGTTTCCAACTAATTTATAGATTTAACTAGCTCAGCTTGGCATCTGTGGTAGGTATTTTGTGTTAACAATTTTGTGCTTTGAAAGTTCGTTGAGAAAAGAAATTTTAGGCATAATACAGTTGCCTGCATTTCTCATCGTTAGATACAGAAAGTTACATGAGAAAGAATTGATAGGAATACTTCTTTTTTCTGTTTTTTTCTTAAAGTTTCATTACAAACTTTGGTATAATTATATACAATCTGAATAAACAATTTCTAACAATTAATTTTATGTTGAAAAGGTAGTACTGCAATTCACAGCAACGTGCTTTAAAACCCCCTCAAAACATTTTTGTATATTTCTTTCAGAATATTCTAGGACAAATCCACCAAAAAGAGTGCTAATCGATTTGTCTAGTTGAGAGGAATCGAACAAGATTTGATCATGTTTGTAGCTGCCTTAAAATCTCCAAAACCAGTTTTGTGCTCCTAAAACACCCAAAAACATTTTATCAAGAATCCTCTTACTTATTGTCTGTACTACATACATAGTACAGACAAGAATATGGAAAGTAAATTATCAGCTCTCTACCACAGACACACTTGTGTTGAATGACACCTCACCTGCCCTGAATCGTGGACAGAAGGAGATTTATCTTTAAGGAACAGAAGATGCACACAAGTTACACGATTACTTTATCATGGCTCAAAAATAACAAGGTACCATGTGACCTTGAGAAATTTTTACAGGTCAGCACTTTTTGCAATATTTGGAGGAGAAAAAACAATGACATACAAAATTATTCATTTTATTCATATCCATTTTCTCATTTTCCTAAATTCTGATTTGGAAACTATGCTACTAGGTTATTCAAATGTCAGTAGAAAGTTGAAACATGTAAAAACAATTTTCACCAAAAATTCCAGATAGAACCCTGTTATTTTGAAGCCACGATATGCAGGATTATCACATATCTTGTGTGGGGAGATGAACGATAGGCAGCACGCATAACCTACGTAGGCTGGGTCTCGGTGGTCCCGTCTCCCACCCGCAGAGTACTGCGCCGGCGGGCCTGGCAGGACCTCTCCCTCTGGAACGGAGGGAGGGACATTGGCGTTGGAGCGGTAGTCCCTCCGCAACCGAGGGGGGCTGGAGGAACGAAGCGAGTTGGATCGTGCAACATTGGAGGTCTTGGGGATACCATTGAGCCTAGGGTCACCTCGCACAATGGTCTGAAAAGAAAAAAAACATAACAGAATTATGTAGCTGGAACACGCATATAGCTGGAACATGCATATTGTTGTATCAAACCACTACTTTATTCATTCAGATGTTTTTATCGTCCACTCTAATAAATAAATGAAAAAGAACATTACCCAGATTCAGTTTTGGACAGATTTCTAACATCATTGTAAATTCCTTATATTGCCATTACCTTATTTTATAATATTAAAAATGGTAAAATATGGATAAAAATGTTTCACTGTCTCCTGAATACTGGAATACCTTATAAATCTTTAAAATCATAATGATATATTCAAAATCAACTTACACATTTCAATATGTCCAAAATGCAAGCAAATGCTTAATTTATATTAAAATCAATTTCACCTTAGTACAAAAACATATTCAAAATTACTTTCCAAGTCAACGTATAAAATATTCTATAGAAAAATAGAGATTACTTCTGGGTCAAACGGACCATTTTCCTAACAAAATGTTGGGAAAGAAGAGTTGTGTGCGTTCAGACAAACAAAATTAGAGTGCTGCCAAGGATAAGTAATTTATCAGTAATGCATTGCATTGAAATGTGAATTTGATTTTTAAGAAGTTGGTATTGCATCAAAAATTCTAGTAGATGATGATTTAACTAATATCCCCACTCTACCCTCGTTTCTCTGTGCCTCAGTCAAAATAGTTGCCTGTCTCATTACCATATTTACTGTACTGATACCATGAAGTTTGTTTACAAACAATTCTCCAGTTATTATTGATCCATCAAACAATTAGGATATCTCAATTTTCTTCTAAAATATTTTGTTGAACTTCATGGAATCTCCACCCATGAATCTTTAATTGTACTTAATTTTTTTTAATTGAATCCCATTCCACTAAAATAATTTCTTTTTTGCTTGTTGAAAATTATACAATACTCTGGAGAAATTCTGATATACATGTACCTGTACACATTCACGAAAATAAATGACTGATTGTTCACAAAGTTTGTTATTACTAATCTATTAAAGCATGACAGCACCACGTCTGGATTGAAAATTGTGCTATTTTAATAAAACAATACTACAAATCAAACAATAGAGTCTATAGAAATGTCAATGATTGGAGTTTCCATGGCAACTATAGACCAAACAATTACGTATCAATAACATTTCTTCAATCACACATTTGAAGTATGTTTAAAATGGTCACACACATTTGACAATGTTTAAGAGATTCGGATATGTTTATGTTATTATGTGTTCTTCAAAATTCATGAATGATTCATTATAAGGCACAAATTCAATACAGCATTCAAATATAGTGTACAGCATACATGCAAGCTTTACCTTGAGATCCAATATCTCTGTAGGTGTGATTTCTGAAGGATCAACAAGAGGCAGAGGTCTGTTGGTACTCTTGAGAATCTGGTTGTTGCCTACAATGCTTGCCCATTGAAGAGGAAGACCAACGAAACGGCCTTCTCGCTTGTCAAACCCAGTGTGCACACGATGTTCAAAGTTTGTAGGAGGTGAAATAATAGGTTTCTTCTTCTTTTTAGAGAACATGTTTCTCCGTTCCTGAAATGAAATACCAAATAAAAATGGAATAATCAAAAACATTCATTTAATTTCTCTAACCTACAAGCTTCATTTCATTCAATATGTCAAAAGCAGTAAGGTCTCTTCGAATCTCGGTCTTCTCCTGAATATAAACACATTCTTGGTATTACTTGCGAGCATTTATCTATCATTCCACACTAATTATGTGATATTTATGTTTTATGATAGGCTCCAAACATACCCCTGCAGGTGAACTCCTATGATCAGCTGAACTCGAATACCCTTAGCCTGATCTGTGTTACATTAATTACATGAGATTCAAACATGATTAGTATGGGTACTCACGTTTTATGATAAAATCCAGAAAAGTGGCAATTAAATAAAAATGCTGAACAGACGCGATACAAAACCACAACCAGCCATGATGCTTGATAAGTGTACGCAATGCCACCTGGCGGCGATCACCGGCAACGGCGAAAGAATTCCGGATGGATGGTGACGTCAAAGAGGTGTTGTCCGGAGGTGTTCTTGTTGGCAACACACACTTACACACACTCACACACTCTCCACACACATGCATGGCATCAGAGATACGCCACGTTCCGCTGACATCGGCCACAGTACCCTTCGGCGCATGTGAGCGTGAGGTTCCATGAAGAACGTGAGATATAATGCAGGTGAAGTTTTGACAGCGTGGGAACTAAGCTGTTATCACCGTCCCCGCCCATTGGAAGTGACAGTTGCGCTATTTACATACAGAAATCTTGTCAGCAGAAGCAAAGTAGCCACAGCAGCCGTTCTTCAACCCACATCCGAGAAATGCTTGTGATACACATGCGCCCGTTTGTAAAAATTCTTTTAAAGCCTGGTACTGGTGCAAAAAAAGATCTACTAAATTCGAAAAAAAATATAAAATTCAATATAAAAAGATGCTTTATTGTATTCTTGTAATGGAAAGATAAAAAGTGATAAAATGCAACTTAATGTGACAAAAATAAAATAGTGAGTGCAAATCTAGCATAATGAGTCCTGATACTGCTTCTACGTAATCAGCTGATGATGTATAACTTCAGTCTTTAATGCCGGAAAAGTTTCCTGGCTGGTGTCAGAGAGAGCATCCATTTCACCAGAGCCGGATTCAGGGAGGGGGCAACTGACCCCCCCCCCCATGTTGGAATAAATTATATATGTGGGATAAATTAAGTATATATGGGATATATATTTACACAGACACACACATATACATATATTAGGCATTTAATTTCGCGGATCTTCAATTATTTATGTTATAAAATATTCACTTTTTTCTGAATTTTGAGAAAAAAATAAACCCTATACAGTACTTGAGTAACTGTGAATATACGTAATTGCATATGTGCGGATCTGTCATCCACAGTTCGACCACTTACCGTGCTCCAATCGAAACGTATGGAATGTAATTCGACGCGTCTCGGTGGGGAACTAATCGTTTATTTTCGGATTCTAAGAAATTTCCAAAAACGTGCTTTAGCGCTGTCATCGTAGTGAATATGCCGGGAATTAAACCAACGTCACCCAAATGTGGGCTATGTAGGTTACGTTAAATTCGACAAGAGAATCGCCGCGCGGCAGATTTCATGTAATTTGCATCCTTATCCTTCAAACTTATTGAAATTGAAGAACTTCAGGTAAGTATGGAGAAAACAGAACTATGAGTAAGGCTACAGAAACACATTTACGTTTGACTTCTCACATACTCTTAAGCGTGCAAATATGGATTTTCAAGTAATATGAAAACAATTTATTCTTATTAAAACGTAACTAACATCTTATTCACATAAGCATACCAAACAGTCGCCTTTCAATGTTTATACAGATTCGCCTACATATAGCAATTCCAGAAGTAGAAGTGAACAAAATTATACATACTGCAGAGTTTTAGTCTCTTCAAAAATTAGGGGCCAAAAATATGGAAGTGATATGGAATCCGGGGAAGAATAAAATGTAGTTGTAGAAGATTTGGTGAAAGAATTTTCGGAACTAATTGAGAGTGATCTTATTAGATAACAACACTAAGAACAGCTTGCAAATTATTTTTACGTGCATGTTTGTGCAGGACATTATTAGCGTGCCGTTAAAACGGTAGGCGAATTACAAACGTGAAAATATAACTGTACTAAATTTTTACCATTCACAATCATTCGTACCTGCAACTATATTTACGGCGTTTATAATTTCCAAATTGCAATATTACACGTTCATAATCCAAATTGCAATATTACCCATTAGGCATTATTACGGTTCCAGCCATTTTTATTTTTCAATGTCTTCTTCATATAAAAGAGAATTCACATTTGTATGACACATTAGGCTCTAATCATGATCACGTAACGAGATATAGAAATTACCTTGGATCCTTTAGATGCAATTACAGTAAAACAGAAAACCTTCTGTTACATGTCTTTGAATTTTTTTTACTGCCCTTCCTCAATCATTAAACTGTGACCCTTCATTAAATTCAACCATTATTACATAGATTACTAACTGATAATTGCATTTATAAGGTGGAAGAGTTTTTGAAATGAGTTATATTAAGCAATAGACTGTACTTGATCTGGTATGTATGATGATTATGTGTTTGCTATGTCATTTTTTACTAATGTTGTTAATGTTATCATTTACTATGAAGATTGTAATGCAATGGATGTCCTCTTTTGTTTCTGTAATAAAAAATTAAATAAATAAATAAATAAATAAATAAATAAATAAATAAATAAATAAATAAATAAATAACCACTTACGTGTGATATTTTATGTGCATTTTGGAAGCGTACAAAATAGGAGCTGTACTAAATTCTAACTATTCATACATTCATACCTGCCATACCCTAAATTGAATGTAAAAGTCTGAAAGCATATTTTATTGTAATGTTCCATATTGTAGTAAGGAACATTGTAATCTATGGAAGCGTCGTCGGCAAACGGGAAACTTTAGGCCGTTGTCCATGTAAAACGACTTTCTTTAACGGCTCTTCAAAAGAAATTTGTCAAAGTAGCGAAACGTGCGGATTCAAAAAAGTCACCGATTGACTAACTTTTCTGTGATCCGGCAGTTGTAACGTGAACACACAGTGTGTTAGAGACAAAAAGCCGCGCGTTTACAATTTTTGGGAAAGTGAAAATACACGAATGACGTTGAGTAAAACTTTATTATATTATCTTTTGTAAGTATTTTTCCCATTATAATGTAAGATATATTGTAACATGCATGATTTTGTTTAATGCCAAGTGTACACTGAGAAAAAAGCGTTGTTCTGTTTTTTCCACTAAATTTTTTCTGTCATTTTGAATGATATTATAGTAATTTCACTTTTCTGTTATTATAAAAGCGAATCAGTTGTTTTAATCATAATGACGGTACCATCAACAAGAAAATTTCATTGTCTTGTTTGGACAACAGAACAATTTTCATTACAAATGTATAATAAACATTCAAACAGACCCGGCTGATAATGTGGGTGAGGTGGGTAGCTATACCCACACAAAAAATTCCGAATGGATAAAATACCCACTCGAATATAGAGTGAGATAAATATTTCGTTAACGTCAAATTCCAGAAATTACCATAGTTTGTCAGTATTGTGTCGATTCATAACGTGTAGGCGATGTACTGTGTTGCAAGATCTGCTCAACAGTATTGCGATTTTACATCTTTACATCACATAACCGGCAGAAACGCTTTGCAAAAAGGGTTAAATGAAATTATATAAAAAAATGCAAAGCGCAATCGCTGATTTTGCATTGGAAAAATGAACAACTAAAGTTACGTCAAGTAAGTGAAATAAAAATTCAACGATAAACATTACAATTAGAAAAAGGTTTTGTATCTTTCCTTTCATATACATTTTCGGTGGGTAATGGAGAGGGACCCCCACCATTCGCTGATCCTGCACTCAAATAAGTGCACAGAACTGTTGCAGTAATTTTCCAAGTATATGTGATTTAAAATAGTAATTTTTTTAAAAATACTTTTAAATACAGCTCAGCAATCGAAAAAATCTGAAAAATTCACAAGATTTTGTGTTTTAAGAAGAACTTTTGAGATTTTTTTCAAGCCTCTTCCTGGGTTCAAAGATAGTAAAAATTAGTTTTTGTTATTTAAAAAAAATGCGTTTGAATTTGGCGCTGAGAAAATATCAAAAAAATTCTTATAGTATAAGTTATTTTGTTATAGTGAAGAAAGTTGAAAAAAATTAAAATAAAAAACATGTTTCTGGTTGTAAATGGGTGTGGGTGGGTGGACGAGAACTCAAAAATCTTTCAAAAATATTATGTTTATGTTAGAATTATAGTGTAACGACTCACATATTTGGTTTAGAGCAACTTTATACCATCTTATTGGGGGACCGTTTGCCCTCCCTCAATAAAACATCCCAAATCCCGCCTCTGCATTTCACTGAATTTCATTACATTTCACTGCCACATTTAGGGCCGACACTTATTACAAGGTCATCAACAGCATTTTCAAGCAAAGTATCCCTATCCCAGTATTCTTTTACTATTTTATTGGTATGAGTGAGAGTTTTTCCAGTCTTCTGTTGTTATTTTATCAAATGCTCCTGACGTCATTATTTTTAAATTAGAAAGTGACACTTGATAGACGTTTCTTTCGATCACTTTCATTTTCACCAACACAAAATGTAATTATATTACAGGCAAAGTGTCTGGCCTGCCTGCGAAGAGTCACGCCTCGACCAGTACTCACATTTGCCAAAGCTACGCCCATAAACAACTCGCTTCACGCTCCTCGCGACTTTTGTTAGCGAAACTGACTGTACAACCCTTGTTTACACTGTTAGTTCCATGACGCGCCGCAATAACCTCCTTCATTCTTCACTTGGTCGAGTTACGTGTAAACTCACTGCGGTGAGTGTATACGCAATTACTAAATAAGAAACTAGCGACATTCAAAACATTTACTGACATTTGATAACAGTTGAATTCGTAAGGTTATGTTTGAAATAAATACAGTTATGGAAGTCAACATTCCTTTGTTACAAGTTAGTTTAGCAATATCCACCGTCGTTCACTGTAGGAATTTATGAACTGTAATGAAGAAATTCAAGGAATTGATGAAAAAGACGTTGGGTGTTCGATTATTTTGTCAGAGTGTGCCTGAGGATATTTGCCTGATACGGAACATTGGTATTTTGGCTCGTGTTGGTGCAGGAAAATCAACCACTACAGAAAGCATGTTGTATTCCGCAGAGAAACATCGCAGCAATGCAGACACGAATCAGAACCCGAAGAAAGAGAGAGAAACTTTGGTTTCGTCATCTCCGGTGTCGTTTTATTGGAAAAAGTACTTGTTTAATCTCATTGACACCCCCTGTCATATGGACCCAACCACTGAAGTCGAAAGATGTCTGAATGTTCTTGATGGTGCTGTTATCATATTAGATGGTTCGGCCGGAATCGAAGCCCGAACTGTAACAATTTGGCGACAGGCAGACCGACACAACCTGCCTCGCATGATATATGTAAATAAATTGGATTGTCCCGGTGCTTCTATAGACAAATGCCTTGACGCTTTGTATAAAAAGCTGAACGTTAACCCTCTTCTTCTCCATTCACCTATTTATGGTGATAACAATCAATTACACGGAGTCATTGATTTGATTACTATGACTTATAACAAATGGCAGAAAGATGATCGCTATGTTTTTGAGTCGAAGCCTTTAAATCTTAAAGAACACTTCCATCTTTGGGAAAAAGCTATCAAGCAGAGACACTCGCTTGTAAAAAAGCTGGTTGAAAACGATCAAGACATGGCTCAAACTATAAAAAAGTCTGAGCCGTTGGACGTTCCGACGCATGTTGTCTTGGAGTCCGTGAGAAATGTTACCATGAAGCAGAAGGCCGTACCAGTGGTGTGTGGGAGTTCATCCAAGAACATTGGGGTACACTTTCTAATGGACGCCATTGTTAATTTTCTTCCCTGTCCAGTCGAAAGGAACAATTTACTTTTGCACTGTTTCAAAGATGCATTGTGTGCCAGGGCATTCAAAGTCATTCACGACAAACAAAAGGAACCTGTTACCTTTTTCCGGATATATTCAGGTTCGCTTGTGAAAGGTCAAAATATATACAATATACAACAAGCAAAGACTGAACAAGTGACAAGACTAATGCTTCCTTATGCAGACGAAATAATTGATGTGCCTAGTGTTCCTCGTGGTAAATTAGCAGCTATTGCAGGTCTTAAGAACACGGTGACTGGTGACTTCGTAACACTAAATGCAAGTGTAGCATCGGCTGCAAAGAAAGTGCTGTCGAAATATGAAGCTGAATCTCCTCAGGCAGACTTTAGCCAACCGCCAAAAGCCCCAGTCCCGGTATTCTATTGTTCCATTGGGGTACCAACGAAGGAGTGTCAAATACCGTTAGAATTAGCTCTGCAACATCTGCAAAGGGAAGATCCTAGTTTGGTGGTGACTAAAGATGAGATGACAGGCCAAACATTTTTAGGAGGCATGGGGGAACTTCATTTAAGTGCAGTTAAAACAAAAATAATTTCGGATTACAAAATAAACGTGTCATTAGGATCTCTGCGAATTGCTTATCATGAGATTCCGCAGAAGGTTAATATAAAGAACAGTCACATGTTAGAATACAAAACAGACAATTCACGACAAAATGTATCTCTTATCATGACATTGTTAGCTCAATCCAAAGAAGATAAAGACACTGTTTTGCTTGACAAAAGTCCCGACAGTGCCACAAATATTGCTAATTTAAATTCTCGATATTTGTTGGCAATAATTCAAGGTGTGAATAGAGCTTTATTGCATGGTCCTAAAGTCAGATGCCCAGTCGTCGGGACTTGTGTCATGCTGCACTGGTTCGAAACAAGCAAGGGAACCACGGAGCAAATTGTGAGTACTGCAGCGTCCCAGTGTGTGCAAAAGTTGCTGAAGGCGGTGGGCACTCGCTTATTGGAACCTATAATGACAGTAGAAATACTGTGTGGCCACAACACGTCTTCAGCAGTTGTGCCCGATTTACTACATCGAAGAGGACAAATCGTCAAAGTGACACAACGAGGGCAACAAATGGTAATAGATGCGAAAGTACCCTTGGCGGAGTTGTCAAATTACGCCATGGATTTGCAAAAACTTTCGCAAAAAACTGGATCCTTTACAATGTTATTGGATTGTTATAAGGCAATGTCACCAACAGACGAAACAAAGGCTGTTAAAAAAGTTACAGGGCTCAATTCGCAGTAAGGTAAGTGTAATTATAAGTTCGAGATTAATGATACGACCTTATTTAAACCAAAACTAAATAACAATGTGTTAACTACTTAATGTTTGTAAAATTCATCTCGAGGGACGTAATTATCTACGATGAAATTTTAAAGTATTTTACGATGATTGTTTTAAAGTATTTAGAAAAGTTAATGGAAGTAGTTTAAAAATTTATTTAAAATATAGTTATTATCATTTGATTTGAATATTTTTCTTTATGGAGAAATAATTTCTTATTGTCTGAACTAGAGGTTTTATTTTATTTTATTTTTTTCTTATTGTCTGAACTAGAGGTCTCCAAACTACGGTTGGCGTGCCACATCCTGCCCCCGAAAATTTTCTACGTGGCCCGCCAACGCAAAGAATATTGTAATTCAGTTTAATCAGGACGCAGACTGTAACGTTTTATTGCAAAATAGTATAAGAATCTGGTCTCCTATTGTTACACACTTTGGATCAGCTACCAGCCATGTGAGTGTCGTACCGTTGTACATCCTACATGAAGATAATTCAAATTCTCGCGAGTTTTTACCATTGGTAAACAAGCTTTTTTTTTATCCGACCTGATTTTGACTTAATTTATTTATACTGCCGAAACTAAGCATGTTGTAGCGGGCATACTGCAAATGAATTTTTAAAAAATGCAAGGAGAAAATAACCTTATGTGTGACTTATACACTTATATCAAGGCATTTACGTAGAAAGTATCATATCCAAAAAAAGAGATTGCTCACAAAATCGTTTGAAAATGGATATTTCCCACTTCTATTTAGTTTAAAACTCCTTTCAGAACTCAAAATGCAGTTCAAAAAGTCGATTCCAATCACTTGGATGTTAACTCCAGAGTTTTTTCAAAATAACTTTTCATGAGGTACTGAGTTAGTCTCAGAAGATATTCTAAAGGAAATTATTAGCATTAAAGCTGATGATGCAATGCAGGAAAAATTCGAAGAAAGAAATTTGATTGACTACTCCCAATAGACCTTTATCAAAAAATTCAAAACATTTTTACAAATTTCTTGTCAGTTTTTGGTATACGTTACAGATGTGAAGAGACTCTCGAATATGAAGTTCGTGAAGTATAAGTACAGATATAACTCAAGTGATGAACATTAGAAAGGCATTTTAATAATAGATTAAACAAAAATTTAACCCATAAAATTAACTTATTTTTAGAGCGTAAAAAACTATTTCATTGGTCTCAAATGAGGTACATTTTAAAATTATTTATCATTTCTATGTTTTCGAAAAGAAATATCTGTTATTACATTTTGAATATTTACCCCCAAAGTGTATTACGTATTACAAATATTATAGAATAGTGTACTAATATGTCCATAAGTGTTTAAAGAATTAATTTGTGGATAGAAAACAGGTTTGTGGTTCGTTAATTAAAATATAATTTTACAAATTAATTCCATCTTATTATGAAATTTAAGTTTTGGCACTCGAAGTTCTACCTATCCGACCCCCAAGAAGGTTTGGAGACTCATTATTTAAAGAATGAAGGGGGTTCAATGTGATAACTGTTTGCTGATTATCATGTTGTGCGGAATTTCGTTTAACTAAGTTGCCCCTGGTTGGTAGGCTACTCATCGTGCATAAATGCTTGGCGGGAGGCTTCCGCCGCCTGAGAGAGGCTGCCCGGGAGACGCCTTGTTCTATACTCCGATTTAAACGTTGTTGCACTCGAGGCCACGAGCTGGGCGAAGAGGGGGACACTGTCGTCTAATCAGAAGTTTCGTTTCGTTTTTCGTTAAATTTTTAGTATTGTAGGTCCCGATTGGATGACAAAGCCCCTTTCTGTCCCCCATTTCGTGACTTTGAAGTGTCACTATGTTTAAATCGGCGTATTAGTACAGGTGCCAATGTTTCGGCCGACTGATATGCATTTCGCCCTGAGGAAGGTCTCAGACATGCGGCCGAAACGTTGGCACCTGTGCCTACGGAGCAGCGTCTTCCGGACAACCAAGAAGTATTTAAGTCTCTTTGTCTGTGTTCGGGCGTGATTCGCCAAACACCAGTACATGCTGGTTTTACTACCAATCAGAGGTCAATGTCACATGCCTAACTTCGATATATTAAATTACCCATCAATATATTAATTGGCAAAAAGGTAACTTCTTCGACCACTCTACACATTCTAGAAGTATGTAATATGTATTCTTAAAAACACCGTACGGGCTGTACAGAAAAAATGTAGTACTGCAAAAAACCGACGTCGATATTTTGATGAAAATGTGTTTTACGATTCCCTGACACCACATTTTCCTCAAAACGTCTGTTTGGGCGTCACCTGTGAACAGCACTAGCGGCTTAACCGTAGAGAGGATTCGCTGATTATCGTCAACCGGCTGAGTTGGCTCAGGTCATCACTGTTGATGACCTGAGCCAACTCAGCCGGTTGAAGATAATCAGCCCCGACGGTGGTAGGATTTTTGACACTAGCTAGATGGAATTCTGACGCTGTCTGGAGGAGAATCCTAGCGGGTCGTTGCTCTGATCGGAAGTTTTCCGTAGTTTTTTCGGGCGAACACCAGGCGAATGCCGGAGCAGTACCCTACCAAACGGACCACGGACCGCGCGCGATTCTTTCTTCCCCTTCCTTGTCCTATCCTCCCTTAGTTACACACAGGTATACGCACTACACTACCGCATATATCGGAAGATTAGTCGCGTGCTTAGAACTTGTGAGGCCGGGGCGGTGCCTCGCTGGTGGGAGATACCTGGTTGAAGGAAATCCCCACAAGTCAACGTAGGTCGGCGCCGGGTCTCGCCAGCCTCACCGCCTCCACCCGCGATAAACTTGCAC